AAGATGCGAAGTTGGCAACGAAATCCAAGGACAGCGACCATGAGAGCATTGGGAACCCAAGCAATTGCAGTGGGTCGAGACGTCAATCCAGGGGAGATAGATGGAGGAAATTAGAGATTCCCCTATTTTTTGGAGATGACGCTTATAGGTGGGTTAGTCAAGTAGAGAGATACTTTACTTTAAGGGGTATCTCTAAGCAAGAGAAGTTGCAAGCAGCAATGGTAGCAATGGAGGGTAAGGCGCTAACTTGGTTTCAATGGTGGGAGTTTTGTTCCAAGAACCCTACTTGGGAAGACTTCCGCACTGCGTTAATAGGGAGATTTCAGCCCTCAATGGCACAAAGCCCGTATGAAAAGTTGTTGAGTCTCAAACAAGAGACAATAGTGGAAGAGTATCGTGAACAATTTGAGTTGTATGCAGGACCCATTAAAGGCACCGAGGCTAAGTATCTAAAAGGGATATTTTTGAATGGATTGAAAGACAGTCAGGGCAGAGTTGAAGTTGCATCGATTATCCACTCTACCAGAATTGATGGATTTTGCCCAAAGAATTGACGAGAAAAATTTGTTGTTGAGCCAAGGGGTTTCAGGTAGGGAGTTCATACAAAAGCTATCCTTCATCAAGAATGGTGACATGGGAGTTGGGATCCAAGAACCAAAATCTTGGGAACAACACAGGAATTAGTTCAGTTGAGTCCAACAGCAGTAAACCATCCGTTTCTTATAGAGAAAAAGGGTTCAAGAAGCTGACAGATGCTGAGTTTGAAGAGAAAACCAGGAAAGGATCACGTTTTCAGTATAATGAGAAATTTGGTCCTAGACGTATTTGCAGAAATAAGCAACTCTAGGTGCTCATCCTAAGCAACGATTTAAGTGAAGCGAAAGGAGGAGGGTGTGAAGAAGAGGACGGAGCAGATCTTAAAGAATTACAATTGTCAATGTGTAGTATTACTGGACTAACTTCAAAAAGTTCCATCAAAATTGGGATGAGATTGAAGGTGCAAAGGTGGCTGTATTAGTGGATTGCAGAGCATCCCATAATTTCATATCATCCACATTTGATCACGATAAATAGTTACATGTGATTGAGACAACAACATACACCGTGGAAGTGGGGGATGGTTGAAGATTTAAGTGTAAAGAGGTTTGTTCTCTGGTAGTACTTCAAATTCAAGGACTAAAGATTCAACAAGATTTCTTCATATTTGACCTAGGAAGGTGGATGTGGTGCTAGGCATGGAATGGATGGCTAGTTTGGGGAAAATCAGAGCTAACTTCAGAGAACTCTCATTGAAAGTGCTTGTGGAAAGGGGAACTATGGTGTTGAAAGGTGAACTAGGACTATCCAGGTGAACTAGGACTGGTCAAGGCTCTACAAGATGAGGCACAAGGATTGCTCCTTGAATGCAAACTCATCGAAGGTGAAGAATTAAATACTAAAAATGATGCAAAGCACTATTCCTCATGAACTTTATAAAATTTTGGAGGATTTTGAGAAAGTATTCAAAGAACCAGAAGGCCTACCACCACCAAGGAGACAAGAGCATGCCATCAGGTTGAAAGAAGGATCTGAAATAGCCAATTTACGGCCATACAGGTACCCTCATTACCAAAAGATAGAAATAGAAAAGGTCGTGAGTGATATGTTAGTCTTCGGTATCATCAGGCCGAGTGTAAGTCCTTATTCTAGTCCAGTCATTCTTGTAAACAAAAGAGATGGGGGTGGAGATTTTGTGTGGATTATAGGGCCCTTAATAAGATTACAATTCTAGATAAATTTCTAATTCCCATTATTGATGAATTGTTGGATGAATTGAGGGAAGCAACTATTCTTTCCAAACTAGACCTAAAATCAGGCTACCACCAAATTTGGATGAGGGAAAAAAATATTCCTAAAACTGCTTTCAGGACACATGAAGGGCATTATGAGTTTGTGATGATGCCCTTTGAATTAATTAATGCTCCTTCAACCTTTCAATCTTTAATGAATGAGGTATTACACCCTTATTTACAGAAATTCGTTCTTGTTTTTTTTTTTTTATTACATCTTAATCTACAGTAAGGATGAGGGGGATCACGCAAATCATCTTCAGCTAGTACTACAACTTTTGAAGGAGCATCAATTATTTGCCAACAGAAAAAAAAAAAAAAGTACTTTTGGCCAAAAGCAGATAGAATATTTGGGTCACATTATCTCAAAACAAGGGGTTGCTGTAGACCAAAAAAAATTACAAGTTATGATGACATGGCCTACCCCTAAAGATGTGAAGGCGCTACGAGGATTTTTAGGCCTTACAGGCTATTATCGCAGGTTTGTTAAGAATTATGGGAGCATTGCTAAACCTCTAACACAGCTCCTTCAAAAGGACAGTTTTCAGCAAGGTAAGGAGGCTCAGGAAGCTTTTGATATTTTAAAGGGTGCAATGGCTGCATTACCAGTTCTCACTGTTTCAGATTTTACAAAAACTTTTATTGTGGAGACAAATGCATCTAGCAAAAGGTTGGGGGCAGTTTTATTACAGGAGGGCAGATCAATAGCTTTTCTCAGTTAAACATTATCTGATAAGGCCCAATTGAAGTTAGTCTATGAGAGAGAATTGATGGCAATCGTCTTAGCAGTACAGAAGTGGCGCCACTATTTGATGGCAGACATTTCATCATTCATACAGATCAAAGAAGTTTATGATTTCTGAATGATCAACGATTATTTGGAGAGGAACAGCTTCGTTGGACCTCTAAACTGATTGGATTCGACTTTGAAATAAAGTATAAACCCGGCTATGAAAATGGGGCTACATATGCACTGTTTAGAAAAATGACTTATGATGCCATCTCTAAGCTTAAGTTTCAGGATTTAGAAGATTGGGCTGAAGAGTTGCAAGTTGATCCTAAGTTGACAATTGTCCAAGGTCTCCTCCAAGATTCAAATGTACACCCAAGATTTTCCTTACAAAATGGTAAACTAATATATTAGGGAAAACTCGTTCTACCCAAAGACTCTTCACGAATCCCTGAACTATTGTCTGAATTTCATAACTCACCTATAGAGGGTCATTCAGGTTTCTTCATAACATACAAAAGAATAGCAGCCTTTGTATTTTAGGAAGGAATAAGGAAAGACATTTAGCAGTATGTGGCATCTTGCAATGTTTGTCAACAGAACAAATACCAAACTTTAACACCTGCAGGTTTCTTGCAACCCTTACCGATTCCCACACAGGTTTAGTCAGACATTTCAATGGATTTTGTAGAAGGTCTTCCAAAAGCTCAGGGTAAAGACAATATCATGGTGGTGGTTGAAGCACCAAATATGCTCATTTCCTATCCATTGGCCCATCCTTTTATAGCACGTGATATAGTAAAAAAATTTAAATTAAGGAAATAGTCCAGTCACATGGATTTCCCATCACTATTGTCTTAGATCGAGATAAAATCTTCCTAAGTAATTTCTGAACTGAATTGTTCTGATTGGCTAGTACCAAACTTAAATTCAGTTCTGCCTACCACCCTCAATCCGATGGCCAACAAAGATTGTTAATAAGTGCCTTGAAACTTACTTACAATGTGTAATGGGTAGCAAACCGAAGCAATAGCCAAGGTGGTTAAGTTGGGCTGAATTTTGGTTCAACACCAATTATAACAGCTCCACTAAGCTTACACCATTTAAGGCCCTATATGGGTGCGATCCACCTCATTTTCTAAAGGGAACTACAATTCCCTCAGTGATAGAGGACATGAACCAGTTAACACGTGAAAGAGATATCATTTTACATTATTTAAAAATGAATCTGTTGAAGGCACAAGATCAGATAAAAAATTTGCTAACCACCACCAAAGAAAGGTCCATTTGGGAGTCGACAATTGGGTTTACCTAAGGTTACAACCCTATAGGTTGAAATCTCTTGCAACAAAGATGAATGAGAAGTTACGAACTCAATTTATGGCCCTTATCAAATTGACAAGAAAATAGGACAAGTTGCTTATCAATTGGCATTACCTAATCACAGCAAAATACACCCAATTTTCCATATATCTTTACTAAAGAAAGTTATTGGCTCAACTACTACACCCCAACCACTGCCACCAATACTATCTGAGAAGTTAGAGCTGCAAGTTGAAGTAAGCAAAATCCTAGCAATCCACAATGGGCTGTCAAGAAAGGCCGAGGTCCTCATCAAGTGGAAGGACCTACCTGATTTTGAAGCAACTGAGTCCTTTGGGGTTATACACGGACAGTTTCCAAAATTCCATCTTGAAGACAAGGTAAAACTTTGGGAGGGGAGTATTGTTAGTAATAGGCCCAAACCACAATTAGTAAAGTCTATGTAAGGAGGCTCAACAAAAAAAGAGAGGCCCAATTAGTTGAGGAAAATGTAAATAACAGAGAATAAATAGGGATGAAGGGCAAAGAGAGAATTTAAGCAGATGAATTAATAATAGGTCGGTTGGGGAGATACTAAACTCTCGAAGTCCTGAATATTCTTGTATTCTTTGATTCTTTCTCTAAATTGGGAGATTTTGCCCTACCAGATTACATTCAATAAAAGCATATTCAGAATCTACTTCCGAAAACTGAACCAGTACCTTACACAACTCATCATGAGTTTAGAGCACACCTAGTCAGTCCATAGCAGCCAACCATTGATTGTATTTTTCATTTTTTACACATTTAACAATAGAGATGAATACTAAAATAAAAATGTGAAGTTATGGAATCCAATTAAGATTTTTTTAAGAAATTAAGATGCAATAAAAAATAATGCAGTATTATGAAGTTTAATTATATAAAACAATTTGTAACTCGTTAGTTGCTTGATTGGATTTGCCCTAATTTATTCTTCAGAAAAACATCTTAAAAATCAACTCCCACTCTCACTCTTGTGATGTCACAACCCCGGTCCAATATTTCAAAGAGTTAAAAAAACCAATGAAATAACAGTTTCAAACTCTCAATTTGCCTATTTTTGAGATTTTAGGAAAAGAATAGAAATTAAATAACAAAGCCATAAAGAAAAAATCAGACCACAGCCCGCAATAAAAATTAGGCGCCCGTTAAAAGGTTTGCATGATGCAGACAGTAAACACTAAAATAACTAGTGTACAGCGATACACTTAGGCCTTTGGCTGACCAACAGCTTGTCGGAAACACAAATGTTGAATTGGCACGTTATGCTGCCGAAATGATAACACAATTGGTCCCGGAAAGAGTTGGTATTCGCGTTGTGTTATCCAATATATGAGGTTGCAAATGATGAAGAAAGGGGGTAATCAAAGCAAAAGTATTCTGGTGGAACTGGAATTAGCTGCCGCATATCTTAGTTCCACTCAGAATATAGCCCCCAAATGCGCTCATTTGCATGCACGGGTGAGTTCTAGACGGAAGTACCTGCACACGATTAAAATGTTACGAGATCCGTTCGGACTGTACCATAAAAACATTGTTGAGACTGATAGGTACTTCGTGTAAAAGTAGAAATAATGGAGACCAAGCTCTTTACAAGCAGAGTAGTCCTATGTAGTAACTGAAGTTACAAAGAAAATGCAGGGGTATAAAAATTAAATAATAGGGGAAATTCAGTAGACATACAGAATATCACACCCTTTCCAAAACTTCTCCCCTTTACTCAATTCTTGCCCAAATCTTCCTACCTGCTTCTCTCCCCCTCACATTTATCCCACGCACATTCCAGGGGTCATCCCCCATTCAGATTGGGCAATGTCTAGTTGTTAACCTCTTTTGTCATTTCCTCGGCAGCGAGGACAGATCCTAAAATTCCTATGCTTAAGGTAGACAAGATGAATATACTTTTATTTTCCCTTCTAAATTATGTAAACAAAGGACTTCATAAAACTTATCTATTTTCATGATGTTGATATGAATAACAGAAATAAATAATACCTGGTATTCACGAAGCCAAGGCTCTGATATTTGCAATCCAATGGCCATTTTCCCAAGCTGTAGATTGTGCATGCAAGTTGCAAGAGGCTGCATTTTATATGAACAAACAACATTTTGTAAACCTGAAAGGCCACTGAACCACATATATAGAAGAGCAAGGGGAAAAAATGGGCTTAACAGTAGCAAGGGCCAGTTGGTCTACGAGTTTGAGGAAAGAGAAATGGAGAATCAAACGTGTAATGATGAGGGAAATCATATCAGGATGGGGCTGGAAGACAAGTGTACAAGAAAATTTTAGAGAGTGGTGGGTCTTTTTGCTAGTTAGAGTTCTTTCTTCTATAAAAAGAAGGCTTCATTTTTTCATTTGGATATCAGTAAAAAAGTTTGCAATTCCTCTTGCAACCAAATGAGCAGAATCAAAATTTATACTACTATTAGGGGAACAGAAAGCATTTCAGCTTTTAACCCCCCACCCCTTATCCACCCAAAAAAAAAAAAAAAAAAATTCTACTGTTTCCATGTGTATGGGATATTTGATAATCTGTGTGGCATTGTTTAATCAATAATCAATAGTAAAACAGCACTCTGCCTCTTTAAATATATATAACGATTTGATTAATGTAAGCCAGAAAACATTTGACCCCTTAAAAAGTTGCTAGTATTCATAATCCATCTTCAACATGTTCCTAAGGTTATAAACAAAGCTAGCAAGAACAAACAATATTTGAATCCCAACACTTAATAACTAGAAGAAAATAAATCAATTAATTGAAAATATTATCATGCATGGATACCTTCAAATCACATCACAATTCATTAAGATTGAAGTCTGAACTAAATTACCTGAAGATATTGGTGATAAATAGCAAATGGAGCTGAGTTTGCTAAAAGAGGCAAGAGATCTCTAACCAATGTCCAAGTATCCAACTCTGGAGCAGCAATAATTAGGCTGTAAAAATGGAAAAGAAAAATCCTCAACTCAATGATTCTTTGAACAGTAAGGCAAATATTTAACTCTAGATACCTGGAAAAACCATTTTCCTTCCACAAGTCAATGGTTTCTTGCTGTGCCTTTTCTCCAGCCTTTGGAGCTTTGTTACAAACTTTGATAGCAGGTTCAGTATTCTCAGCACCAAGATCAGAAATTTCATTTTCTGATGGAGAAGAAATTTCCTCCATGCTAGCTGATGCACTTATTTGATCCTGCTTGCATAGTAACTTCTGATTGTGTGCAACAAAAAAATAGAACCGATTATGCAATAAAGGAAGCGTTACCTACATTTGATTGGCTTTTCACATTGCAGACACCATCATGTTGCAGGTTTAGTTCAGGGTATTCTTTTTGTGACAACAAGTCAGAAATGGGAGACCTTACAATTCTGCGACAAATAAAAAAAGATAATAAAGTCAGGCAAAGAACCAAAACCTTGGAACACATGTATTCAAACTGACCACCTGATGTGGCTGTAAACAAACAAGTGATTTGAAGTCAGTTTCTTTGGTCTTCATATAGTTACATGAAATTAACTATATGAATACAATAGAGAACACATCAATTTTACATGTTGAATGAGCCTATAACATTAACAGCTTTTCCTATTAATTGAACACATGGTTATTATCCTTGAAGAAACTTTCACAAAATTGTCTCTATTTCCTGTGGTTCACAAACTATTAAATTAAAAGAGAAAATGCATCTAAGACTGCTCATTCAGAAGAAAAATCTAATTGTATTAATAATGTAAAAAATATCCAGTTCAATACAATGAACACCCAAACTATCTTTTGAAAAAAAATAAGCATAAAAAATGCAAATAATTTAAATTAGTGCAATGAGTAACCTAATGCTGCAACAAGTGATAAAAAAAAGTTCATGACTGCAACAAGAAAATATGTTTGATAAACTGCAATAAATCACATAATCTGACCTCTTGCAGATCTCATCACTTAAGTTAAATATCCTCACAATATCCATGGGATATGGTACCTGCCCAAGATATGAGTTGCACACAAAACCAGTACCTGTAACGATATTAAATGTGTTTAATACATCAAGCATAATGCATGTACTAGCCAATTACCTATGAAAATTCATACTGCAGTTCACTCAGTCAAAAGAGTGTTAAGCATGATATATATATATATATATATATATATATATATATATATATATGAGTTTGCTAATGTACACTCACTTATTGTTTAGGAGAAATTAACAAGCTACACCTTTTTTAATAAGCTAGTGTATTTTAAGAAAATGAAAGTTATAACATGCTAACATATTTCTTTCACAAATAAGTGATTATACATTAATAACCATGGATGCTAATATATACTCACTTAGTTTATTGTTGGAGTGGGTTAGCAAGCTATAACTTTAGTCTATTTAAAGGAAGCCATAATAATGCATTGCTAAAATACTCCTAAAAAATAAGTAGGTGTAAATATTAGCGAATCCCATCTCTCTCTCTCTCACTATACTAAATATATATAAGCATTTAAGTGCCCTTTACTTCATATTATCATTGACTTCTTGTTATGATTCTCAGTTTATTACACGTTATGGGAAAAAAATAGCATAAAATGATCAAACTTAGTATAAGTCATATCACACCTCCTAAACGTTCTGCCACAGCACCGGTAAGAAGGCCACCAACCATATCAACTATGAGAATGTCAGAATTTGAAGAAACATTACCCATGGAAAGTAGAAGGGACAATGTGTCCACCCGCAAAAACCTGAATAATTCATTGTAAGTTAGAAACAATATCATGCATCACTTCAACTAGAAGAAATGAACCCACCTTCTTAAATCAATAAACAGCTACATATGTGTTATCGACTTAAGCATGTATGGCATAGTATATACAAGTCCAAAACAAAGATAAGTAAAGTAAAAATATTTACATCTTGACATTGATCATAAATTCAAAAGTCTGGCTTCTTCTCAAACACCCATATTTGAATACAAAATATATAGAGAGAAAGGATTAAAATTAAATAAGATAAATGGACTCAAGGTTGTGGTTTACCAAAAAAAAACCACAATATTAGCAGTTGTACAGCTTGTCTCTCTAGTAAAACCTTTAACAAATACAATACTGACACTTGCTCTAATATTCCTTTTCTTTTTCCTCTTCTTTGATTTTAAGCACTTACATACAATAATGATATTATAGCTCCAAAAGAATAGCTCAGATCTAATAGAAAATAAATAAAAATGGTCAACATGTAACAGAAAACAGTACTTGTAAGCATAAAGACTCACCCAATTTTAGATGGATACTTCTTAAAATAGGCCTCACATATACTGGAACAAAAAACAAATAAACAATGCCAATTGTTAGTCATTGAGTAGCGAAACTCAAAATATCAAAAACTGACAGTGTATACCTTCAAAGGTATGTTGGATGAAATATGTCACAAACAGTTCCATAAATATTCTACGCAATAAACTTGGTTATAATTTACTTACTAATAGGAGAAAAATATTATATTTTCTTGATACATTCATGAAAAAAATTATTTCAAATGTTCAAAGTGCATGCTATATCAGCTTGATGCTATTATTTGTGACTTTGTATTGTTTGTTGAACTTCAATCATTATAATGTTACCAGTCCCACGTCAGACAGTTCGTAAGACAGTGACAAAAGGCAAAACAGTATAATGTTAAGAATATCATTTCCATCATTAAAACAAAAGCCAGAAGCTCCAAATAGGCAAGATCTTTCAGCTGCATCTTTCATATTCAAGTCACATTTATTGGTTGCAGAGAGAAAAGAAATGTGAACCATTATCAATATGTCAAAATCTAGTGATAAAAGCCAGCAGTGAAAAATATTCAAGGTCACCTCCTAGCAACAGGACACCTCATAAGAACTTTTGGTGCATATTTCTTCTGCTTCTTAAGTCTATATTTTTCCTGCAAAAACAGCATAAGATTCAGTTCATTTCTAAAATAAAAAATAAATATACAATTTGGTCCCAGATTGATGATACCATGATATTTTGATGTCCAAAAGTATATTATATCTATCCAAAGTAATCCCTAAAGTTGCCAACTCGCTAACAAGTTCAACCTTCCATTATTTGATATTAGTGAGTGCTAACAGAGAAATTGATGTAAAATGTTAAACACACATGTAATGTTATTTACAGTTGGACTGTTAACATGGAATGACAGCCCCACCAAAAATCATATTTGGTGCTGCCATTAGCCATTGCATCAACTCAGCAAGCTAGACATGCAGTACCCTAGTCAGGTGATGCAGGCCCAAATATGGTGGAGGTAGGCTGGTCAGCCCATGTAAGCATTCTAATGGACAAACACTATTATATGTATAACAAAAATTTAAAATATCAATCATCCCACCTGGCACTATCTTGCTATAGTGCTTTTGGTGTAGGCCACTAAATGGCATTACGCGTGTTAAGTGTTAAACTTTTACATCATCATTTCTGTTGGGGTTGGGGCTCACACTACCATTAAGTAATTGTAAATTTATTCCAAAGTAAACTAGGTAAAGCTTTTCATGTATCAAAATACCTGTGAGAACAATGTTTTCTTTTCAAATGTTGCGCTGTTGGCAATGAGAGCATCAATAATTTCATTACCTCTTGCACCCTGCCTGCATAAAAGGTATAAGGATACTTTTTTTCACTAATGAACCCCATAAGCATTGCAAAGAAACAATAACTCTTACCAAAAAGCAAGCAAAACATTGTTTGCTTTATTCAAATTAACAAACAATGGTATCAAAACTGTATTCCCATTACACATAAAATCAAAGGTCCAAACAAATACATAAATTCAGTTTACGATCCAATTCCTATAAAATAATATTAACCAAAATGCAAACAAATGAAGATACACTCACCTTCGCATGGCTTCTATATCTTCACCAGTTAGACTTTGGGCCAAATTATTGTCAATCAAAGCCCGATTGTCCTTGGACTCAACATTTACTTCACCGTCTCTTATTTCTTCATTGTTAGTAACATTACCTAAATGTATTTGCCAAAGCAATATTGCAATATGATCATTATTATGTATCAAATCAGAATTTTATACAAACAAATATATACATATATATAGAGAGAGAGAGATCTACCTTGGGCAGGAGAGAGAAAAGGTCCATCTGATGCAGTTTCGACTTGAAAGAGAGTACCGAATGCACGACCGATCAACGGCTGTAGAGAGCAGTTCTTATTCCCAATCTTCAATTTTCTGCAACCAAAGTAATTCCATTATTTAGAATTAATAATAATAAATAGTAAATAATGAAAAGAAAAAGGAAAGGGTGAAAACTTACGCAGCGGGAGAGAGACGGGCGAAAACTAGACGGTCACCGTCGTTGATGTCTAGCAAAACGCTGCAACCTTCCCAAGTCACTCTCCCACTTTCACACATCTCTGTTTTTATTTACTTATTCCTACCGAACCTGAGTGAGTGTTGAGAATGAAATTAAGAGAGAGAAGATTTGAGGTGGTTTTACTATTTACGGTCGTACGGCTGAGTGATGACCATAGATAGACTATGTATGACTAGTTTCTGCAGATGCGTGACCAGCCATAAACCCCCCACACAGACTACAACTAAAGCTAGGGTACTAGGATTAAAGTTTCGTTTATTCATTTGGGCTCGGGACTGTAATCCATCTTTATAATTATGCCCAGGCTTCCGCGTTATTGCTTATGGGCCCTAATAAAAAGATAGGGTTAAATGGTTTAAATATGTAAATTAGTGCATCAAAATATTACGATTTATTATATAGATTAAACATAAATAAAATGTCATATTTTTCTATTTTAGGAAAAAGAGGAGCCTTTAATCCACGGGCAAACCGGTTCAACTTCTGGTGAGGTACCAGTCTAGGTGAATCAGAATTGATTCTATTCTGAGAGGGAGTGTGATTGCAGCAGAACCATATTGTGATTTGCTTTGGTTCAGATGGTGTCAAATATATCGGTTGGTAATAATCTATGGCCAGCTTATTTTAATCAATCTTTATTAATTCTTTTTCATTTTTAAAATTTAATATTAGTATTTTTATTTTTATCTAAATTTTAAAAGTACACTAAAATTTATACAAATTGAAAAGTATTTGATTGTACATTAATCTTAAATAAAAATGTCACATAATATTTGTTAAATAAAAAATAAATAAAATTTAATTTAATTTAATTAGTTATAGGAATTTAAAAAAAGTATAATTTTTTTAAGAATTTGATAACACTGTATTATTACAAAAGGAGGAAGGATGCATAATGCCAAAAGTAAATTAAATTAGCATAGGTAGAAACTAGAAAGACACATAGTCTAAACTACAATGACGAATACAAATCCCATATAAAAAATATTTCAAAAAAATTCTACGAAAGAAACTAATAATTAAAAAAATAGGAATACATAAAAAGGAATTGATTGTATGTTAGATCATTTTAATTAAATCTTTTTTTAAAAGAAAATTACAAGTTGACTATGTTATGTTTTTTTTAAAAAAATATTATTTGATGTGTCAGACTATTTGATAGGAAAAAATTAATATATATATATATATATATATTATATCAAACAGAATAAATTATAAATAACAATATATCACAAAATAATCTAATTAATAAAATTTTTTTAAAAATGATACATAAATTTATTTTATTTCATTTCTAATTATAAAGAGTTAAGTGTATTTTTGTCAAGCACACAAAAGAAATTAATGTGATAAAAAAATTTATTAAAAAAATCAGGTTTTTTTTTTTAAATGTAAATCCAAACAAAATGTTAAATATATAAAGAAAAGAATTTTAAGACATATTTTATCACACAAGTGTTCACTTTTGTGCAATTTTAATTATTTATTATACTCATACAAAAAATAGACTAATAGCTTTGCCTGAAATGTGTTCTCCACATAATAAATAGAAAGTTACGAGCTTTCCACTTTTTTTTATTTGTTATCTCCGACAGGTCAATCACTCAATTGAGCTTAGGTTTACTTGTAATAGTATAATACAAAGAGGTAAAATGGTTTAATGCTACAAAAATCATTCAATTAGCATTTAGATAATCATTTATTTAGGTACTTACTTAATTTTTTTAAAATAATAATTTATATCACAAATTTAATTTTTAAAAAAATAAATTAAAAATATTTTATTTTAATAAATTATACTAAGAAATTTATTGAAATAAGTTAAAAATAGCTTATAAGAATTATAAACTTACTTTTCACAAATTATTCATTCATTTTTCAAATGATTTTTAAATTTAAAATATTCAATTGCAGATGAAGACCACACTATTTAGTTTGAGAAAGGAAAATGAGTTTTGTTAGAGGTGCGCAAACTAATTTATTTCTGACTCAAAATTTAGTATGTAATCAGTATTTTACTGTACTTTAGTATTTATTTTTTTTATAAGCATTTTATTGTATTGTTATCTACTTTTCTAATGAGTTTAAAATTTCAGTTTTTTTTTTTTTTATAGTTTCAGGAGAACTTGTATGTATTCATTAATTTTATTGGTAGAAAGTTCTTATTAGACTAGGCTTGATGGTTTGTTTTTTTCATATTAGAAAATTTTTTACATTACTAATTTTGTTGTCTCTCGTTTATTACTTTATTTTATGAATTTTTTTAAAAATATTATCATTTATTGCATAAAATATTTGTGAAACTTATTTTAATTACACACAAAGAATTTACTTTATTTTCACCTAGTGTGTTGTTTGTTATTTAACTTTTTTTTTTCCAACATTTATAACAACTAATACTCTCTAGATTAAAGTATTTAGTTATTAATTTAATTTAAATAAATGTACACGTATTTATTAATATAAAACTTTTTGAAAGGAAAAATATCATTTAAAAAATTATTTATCAAGAGAATTCTCTTATATTCTTTAGGAATTTTAAATTAAAATTATTAATTTTTTATATTTAATACAAATACATAAAAAAAATTAAAAGATAACATTTTTACAAATATATTTTCAAAATTTCAGCCTAATATGAAAATTTTCAACAAATATTATTCGAATGATGTGGCCAATATGATTTGTCTTTTTCCTATTTTTTTCAGTTTTTAACTTAATATTTTAATCACTGATATTAATCTATTTCATTTCTTTTTAATCTGTATCAACTTTTATTTGTACAATAAAGTAAAATTAATATTTTTTAATTAAGTCTTTTAAAAATATATTCTCATAAAAGGGTCAAACTTAAGATTTATATAAAAACAAAAATATGTATAATATAAAAGTGCAATTATATATTTTACCTAGATAGATTAATTAATAAAAACTTCGTATAAATTAATCTATAGTTTTAAGTTTGAATTACAGACAAAATTCGATTGTATTAAATATTCAAAAAAAGAAAATATTATCTATAGAAGTTCTACCTAACTACGTATGATTTAAAAATATATATATATAAACATAATTTATCACTTTATCCTCTGTCTTCATTTTATGGAAATCTTATCTATAGAATTTCTACCTAATTATATATGATTTAAAAAATAAATAAATTTAAACATTATTTATCACTTTATCCTATCTCTTCATTTTATCATTGTTTATTCAAAACTTTTATTATTAATTCACTATTATAATTCTAGATTATTTGAAGTTACTGGAATTAAAATTTCATAACCCTTATTACTCATGTTAATCAACTTTGAAAACAAGATCATCTAATATAACTATATAATTTTATTTTTCATACGCATTCTCATATTATACTTGCCTTATATTATTTTTTATTTTAAATTTAAATTTTTAGTTATCACAAAAAGTAAAGAGATACTTTTAAAAGAAATATTAATATTATTAAAAATTAATATTTAAACCAAATAAAATATCAAAACAAGTAAAAATTATTTTATAATATTTATAAAAAATATTTAAGAGGTATTAAATGTATTTTTAATATTTTCATGAAATATTATTTTTATGCAATGTAATTATAATAAATTACACTAAACATCTCTTAGAAAAAGTATTTTTTTTTTTCAATACGAGGAAAATGAATGACCACGAGACATTTGTCCTCAACATATATAGTTGAATTTTGGTCCAATTTTTTAAGTAATAAAAAAATTAGTCTTTCATCATGTTTATTGTTAAATGATAAATATTTTGGTGACTAAAATAAAATATTAAAATTCTTTTTAAAAAATTAGTGTTTTTTTTAGAAGATTTGTCTTTAAATCCTAATTTTTCATTTCATCCACTTTTAAGTGGGGATTGAATCTAAGTGAGAATTTCTACTTCCACACTTGCTTTTCCACTTTTTAAGTTTATGGTTAAAATCACGTCTTTACTATTTTCTTGGAAAAAAAAAATCATCCTTAAATTGAAAAAAAAATTACCTTTAATTGAAAATTAGTTAAATGAAATGAAGAAAAAAAAAATTTATTATTCTTTTATTAGTTCTTTCACGGAGAAGCTTTTAACATCTAAAATAATCTTTTTAAATCTTTCCAATTTAAGCACTTAAATTTCTTTAACTCAAATATTAAAATAAAAAAGGACTGATGTTCTTGCTAAATGTATGTTTAATTAAATTTCTACCTTTTTTCGTAACATCATCAAAATACTCAATCTTGTATTAAAAAAGGAAAGCAAGCGTGAAACTACCTTACACACTTGATAATAATCAAAATCATATATAAACAAGGAAGAAAAGCTGATAAAAAATCAAATATTCTTAAACAAAAGTAAACAAAACGCAAGAATAAGAAAAAAAAATAGCTTTCTATTAAGAAGATAAAATAGGTGTCGTAATCTCTAATAGAATGATAAGTCTAGTAAAAGTTTTCATAAAAGTAAAGATATTCTTGAAAAGATCAAAGCTTTTGGTTCACCCTAAAAACCAAAAAAAGTACCACACACTTTCTATTAAGAAAATACTTTTAAATTAAATTATTGAAAACCTAACAAGTTTATATCTTGCCCAGCCCAATATAAACCTAGTTAATACATTTAAAACAAAAGGCTTAATAGACTCATGTTTAGTTCATTTAATTCAATTAATTAATATCATTAAAAATAAACTTAAAAATACTTAATTTGTTACATGGCCAACAAGGCCTAAATACATAAAAAGGTAAAATTAATAAAGCAAATTTAAAGCTCAATGAATTAAAAATGTCTTGAACATTAGTTTCTTTACAAATTTTAATGAATCAACTTGCATATCCACTCTAGAATTATGTCATGAGGCATATATACAGATAATTATATTTTGATTCATGTTTGTTATTGTTACGTAACAATTTGAGTATTTTCTTTTTTTTAGTATACATGTTATGTTAATACAATTTAGATGATTTGGAAATATGATTAGGTGTGTATATATTTCTTTATTCATATTAGGCTTAAATATATTTTAACTACTTTAAATAGGATTTATTTTAAATTACTATCTATTATATTTTTTTTATTTTAATGCTTAACTAATTTTTTTTTTCAAATTTTGTATTTGACCTTAACCTTCGTCAATTAAATGATGACATGGCTCACAGTTTGCCATGTTATCTTCAATCTCTCTCCTTCACCTCTGTAATGTCCTACATTTCT